CAAGCCTCCAGGTCCAGGACTTAAACCACAGAGTTGGCCATGTGGGATCCAGCACCTTAACCACCATAACCTGCTGGCCCCCAATTTTTTTAAAATCATAAACAAAAATAAAATAAAATAAAATTCACTGGACTCAAAAAAATTATTACATATTGGTCCCATTCACATTTCCAGTGCCTACCTTGTCCAAACCTAAGGAAAATAAAATAAGGCAAAGCACAGTATGACAAAGCCTCACTAATTTGGACTTCCATAATTTGGAACCTGTGATAATTTGAAAAAGAGCTGGAGTTTATGTTTTTGGAATCTATGAGAACAAAAAAGGTTTTCTGAGCAAATAGAAAAATTAAGATGTACGTAAATGTTAGTCCCTTATATATCTTGAAAATATAGTATGACAAAATCATTCTCACACTCATTGAGATAAATCCCCAGACGTTTACAAGACACTATTTTCCTTAGCCTAGTTTAAGTTCGTTAATTTTTTTTAATTAGAGGTTTGTGCTATAGTGTGCTTGCACTCACCAGAGAGACAGAGATACACAGAAAGCGAGAAATCCCCCCCTGGGGGGTGGGATGGCCACACCACAATTCCTTCTCCTCCATTCACCTCTCAGGATTTTGGGCACACACACCCCCAGCATGAGCTTTAAGCCATCGGGTCCAGACTCAAACCGCAGTTGACATCCAGCGATGTAACCATTATGCCATCTGCTGGTCCCCAAGTTTATTAATTTTAATTCAACAAATATTATTGAACATCTACTATGGGTTACAATTAGAAATACAGAGATGATAAGAGAGTGTCAAGAACCTTTCAGTCTACTAGGGGAATATAGATTGGTAAACATTAGAAAACAGCATGGTTACTGTATGAGTCTCAATGGTAGGCCAAAGGGAAACATGATAGGATAGAGAAGTGAGTTACTGGATATACTACAAAGTAATAGAATTATATTGGTCTCAGAGTAATAGATCATTCATATTTTTCACTCTTCAAATTGGCCTGATCCTTATTTTGGAATAAATTGACCATATTTTATCAAGTGTCTTATTGTTTTGAGCCACTGCTTTGTTTTCATTAAGTATCCATTCATTCATTCATCCAGTATTTATTAAGTGTATCCTTATGCTAGGCACTGTACTATGTTACTCTAAATAGAAAGATCAGTCTTTTTCAAAGGCCCTGCCTTCCTGAAGCATGAAGTTTACAAGAGAAAGAGCAGGTGCATAAATACCTAAGTATAATAAAGTGCTGCGAGTGCTGGATAAAATTACGTAGTGGATAGAGTGGAGGCACACTGCAGGGAGTGGTTAAAACTCCCCAAATGGTGACCAAAATTCAGGAGTAGAACCTTAAAAGAGGAGCATTGTTTGAAAGATCAGTAAAGGATGGGCATTGCAGACAGAGGAAGCTTGATGAGCAAAGACCCTGAAGCACAAAATAGACTAGTATGTTGCAAATACTGCCTCAGTTCAGCATAGGATTGGGGAAGGGAGGAAGGGGGTGATAGATATGAATCATCATGGAGAACGGTATCTGTTGTGCTTTGTTTTAAAAGCCAGGGAGAGTAACATAACCAGTTTGCTTTTCAGGAAGGACCTTCAGAAAATAGTGTGGAATATGAGTCAGGAGAGGTATGCCTGGAAACAAGGAGATCAGGGGAAAGTCCTGGACTAGCATTAACATTGAGGATGCTTTGAAAGCAAAATAAACAGACCGTGGATGTGGTACTGAGGAAAAGGGAAGAGTCAAGAAAGATTTTTAGGTCTCTGGCTTTGCCTGGAGAGAAAGGAGTTACCATCCTCAAAAGATGTGAATATATCAGGAGGAGCAGACTGGGTGTGGGGCAGAGTAGGAAGGAATGAGGAACTCTACTTGGGGGTTTGTTTCAGTTGAGTTATCTCCAAGACATCCAAGTGGGGATGCATGGTAGACAGGTCAATAAGTGAAGTCTGGGCTGTAGATAGAGAATTGAACAGTCATCAGTACGTACAGGGAGGGTACTTACAATGGGGAAAACTATGTAGCTGGCATTTAAGAAATGGGCAAAAAAGGGGTCAGCATGGAAGCAAGGGCAACTGGATTCCCACATGGCCAGCTGCAGTTTGAGACTCGGACCTGGTGACTTGAAAAATCACACCTGGTGCGTGTTGTGTGTGCATGCCCAAATTCCTGGGAGGAAAATGGAGGAGAAGGGATTGTGGTGTGGCCATCCACCCTAGGGGGTGACTTCTCACTTTCCCTCTGTATGGCTGTCTCCTTTCTGGTGAGTGTATGTGTCCTACGACAAACAAACAAACAAACAAACAGAGAGTCCACAAAGCAGATAGAAAAAGTATGGTCAGAAAAACAGAAGGAAGGACCAGCAGTTAGCATAATGGCTATGTCATTGAACTCCCATGTAGTCGACCGCGGTTTGAGTCCTGGACCCGGTGGCTTAAACTCACGCTGGGCGCATGTGCGTGTGTGCCCAAGATCCCGAGAAGAGAATGGAGGAGAAGGATTGTGGTGTGGCCATCCCCCCTGGGGGTTGATTTCTCACTTTCTGTCTCTCTGTCTCTCTATGTCTTTCTGTCGAGCCCACGTGCCCTATAGAAAAAAAAACTCTCCAAAAAAAAAAAAGGAAACCAGGAGAAGAGATGGGGTCATGGAGGCAAAGAGGAGTTTCAAGCAGAGAATAATCAAAAGCGCCAGATGCAAGACAAGTTATAAGAATCAGGCAGGCAGAAAGCCAACTTGACCTCTCAGAAGCATCTGGCACTTAGAACAGTGTTCACACACTCTAGGTTTGGAACAAATTGTTAAGTCATTTCTCCCACTTCTGGACCAGTGAATGCACCTTTATTTCATAGATTAATTATTTTGAGTGGCACAAGATAATCCTCTATGAAAACTGTTAAAAAATTGAAGGTTTAGAGGAAAAAACATGGGTTTGGAGCAAAGCAGACTTGGCGTCAAATCACAGCTCTGCCACTTTCTGGTTGGGTGTCTATGAGCAAATTATTTGACTTGCTCGAGCCTCATTTTCCTGATCAGGGAGGAGACTAAAGTGAAGTAAGTGAGGCTCCTTGCCTTAGATGCTAAATTTAAGAGGGCACCAAAAATACTCATTAATCAAGATCAATAATATCCATGATGAACAAAATATGAAAATGTTAAGGAACGACAAACTCTTTGTACTTGCACAACCCTGCCTCACTCACCTCTGCCTAATTCCCATCTTGTCAGGCTGTCTTTTTTTTTTATTCAACTGATTTAGTTTCCTTTTACTCTTTTTTTTTTCCTCCTTTTCGAGAAGTTTTTGCTATAGGGCACGTGCACTCACCAGAAAGAGACAGAGAGAGAGACAGAAAGCGAGAAATCACCCCCGGGGGAATGGCCATGCTGCAATCCGTTCTCCTCCATTTTCCTCCCAGGATCTTGAGCACACTTGCATACCCGCCTTGCATGAGTTTAAACTACCAGGTCCGGGACTCGAACCGTGGTCAACTACATGGGAGTTCAGCGACATAGCCATTACACTAACTGCTGGTCCCGGTTTCCTTTTACTCTTTTGGTAATCTCTTCCAGAGCTAACCACTTCCACTGCAGGTAATGAAAAGGCTTCAATTGTTGGCACAGCGATGAGCATGGTCTTTCCCTTTAACTGCAACTCAGAATTAAAATTTTTGATTCTTGTTTTTAATAGTCCAGTCCCAGAAGTAGTTTTCACTAGAAGTTATATGAAGACAATCTTATGCTTTCTAGTAGTGGTTTATAACTGGGCTCTGGCTTCTTCAGGAACACTACAGGATGGATTTAGTTTAAATGAATTAAACTCACAAGCATTCTCTCAAATGAGTTTAAATGCATTTTATTTTTAGAAAACCTATATGACATGTTTTTTACATAAAAACAATGCTTCCACTCTAAATAAATCATGCAATAAATGAATAGCTCAAGATAACATCCGTTCCATTTGTCTTTTTAAAAAATTTTACTTCATCCTGGTCCCTACCCTGTTCCCGAGCATATAAGGAAATACAAAGTCAGGACCAGCAGTTGGCATAATGGCTACATCGCTGGACTCCCATGTAGTCGACCGCGGTTTGAGTCCCGGACCCGGTGGCTTAAACTCATGCAAGGCACATGTGCGTGAGTGCCCAAGATCCCGAGAGGAGAATGGAGGAGAAGGGACTGCGGCGTGACCATCCCCCCTGGGGGGCGATTTCTCGCTTTCTGTCTCTCT